TTCGCGAGTGATGGGAGAAGGGAGCTGGAGATCGACAGACAGATTGGTGCTGCGGCTGCAGTGATGCGGACGCTGCACCGGTTTTATTTGTTCCTGAGTAAGTCGGTTTGGCTGAGATTAAAGTTAAGCTTCATAACATATTAATCACAGTTAAATTAAAAGGGGACGGCAGTAAAAACTCCGGACCTGTGACATCATCAAGTACGCTGGTGTTCCAATTGTACAAATCGCGAGTCCGTACTCGCGTTCTCGCCAAGTCCGTACTCCCGTGCGTTCTCGACAAGTCCAGTCTCGCGGAGAACGCGAGTCCGTACTTAGAATTGAGAAAGGGCTCTTGACTTGTTGATTTCGGAATTCTCAGACTTGTTGACATGTCGCTGTATGAAAGGATTCTTTCATAGTGAGTGATATGAAAAAACAAAGACTTTAATTTTCATCTATGTTGTGAGGATAAATCCCTGGTCAAAGACTTCTTGAATGTAATTGAGTCCCTAAATTTCACACAATTTGTGTCTGGGCCAACATGCAAGGGCTACACAGGTTTCAGTACGTACCCCAGGACAACGTCTATAGACGTTGTGTGGGGTACGTACTGAAACCTGTCTTTTACCTATTTTAGAACATTTAGCAATTTTATTTGATATTTTAATTCCTACATCTCCAGCCTCTGAGAGGGAAAAATTGCCCCTCAGGTCATCTCGTCACATTAACCCTGAAGCATTGCTTAGAGTTAATTTACCTGTGGACACTTTGACTGTGAACTTTAATAATGCAATTCTTGACCTGTTGCTCCTGTAAAGAAGTTAAATGTTGTCAAAGGAACCTTATGACCTCGCTAAATGAGGAACTGATGAAGTTGAGAAGAATTTGTAGGAAAGCCGAGCGTTGCTGGTGATGCTCCAGATTAGAAGTATTTCTACAGGCTTGGAAATAGCAGCACACTGTCAACCAACAACCTGTTTGAGCGATTTCAGTCTGCTTTTAGACCAAACCACAGAAACAGCTTTAATCAAAGTGGTAAACGATCTGTAGGTAAATGAAGACAATGATTGAACCTCATTTTTATTACTGCCAGATCTAAATGCTGCCGCCTTTGACACTGTGGAGCACTGTATTTTATTGGATAGGCTAGAACATTTTATAGGAGTTGCGGGAAATGTTTTATAATGGCTGAGATCCTACCTGTCTGCTGCCTTTTGTTGTTCTTGTACATTCTTTTAATGTAACCTTTTGTTGTTGTGTTATTGACCTGCAGCTTTGAAACTGTGTTGACTTGTCTAAATCAGAAGCCCTTCTATCTGCCATTAGTAGCTGGTTATCTGATCATTTCCTGCTTCTTAATACTGATAAGACAGATTTGATGGTCATTGGACCACAAAAATTTAAGTACTTGTCCCAAAATTTCACCTTGAAAATTGATGACTATGTCATAAATTGCAAAGACAAGGTAAAAGACTTGGGTGTGTGGTTTGACACGGTGCTCTCCTTTGAGTCCAATGTGGAAGAGAAAACAACGACTGCCCTTTATCACCTAAAGAACATAGCTAAAATCAGGCAAGTTTTATCACTGGACACTGCAGAGGTACTTGTCCATGCATCTGTGCCTTTGCATTTGATTATTGTAAAGCTCTTCTTTCTGGGTTACCGAAGGAAGGTTTTAAAGGTTTGTAAATGATACAAAATGCAGCTGCTCGCATTTTAACCTGGGAAATTTGAGCACATTACCCCAGTACGGAAATCAGTTTCAAGCAGATTTTAAAATTTACCGCCTTCATATCTTTCTGACCTTTTGTACCTCTATGTTCTTTCCCATGTTCTTCGATCTCAGGATATTAGCCTTCTGAAAGTTCCTAAAGCCAGAAAAAAAAGACTATTGGGGAGCATGCTTTTTCTTTTCAAGCTCCATTTTTGTGGAACAATCTGCCTGTTTTTTCTGTACTGGTTTTATTTTATTTTTTATTTCATTGATCTTTTTATCTTCTAATAACTGTTCAGCACTTTGTTTGAAAGCGCTATATAAAAAAAAGTTATTATTATTATTCAAATCAATTAATTGCAATTAACATGCTAAATGCCCACCACTAATTTTTACATTACTCTTAAATCAATTTTTAAAAGTATGCAGTCATGAGTACGTTACTAAAGCTGTTGTTAATATTTCTGCAAACTTTGTGACATCATGTTGGATTTATAACCAAGTGTAACTTAAAAATATGCAGAAGTAATTTCTACTTGATGCAGAGACAGAATACACCATGAAATTACTTGTTTGTTTGCTCACATTCCCAAAGACCTAGCCCAGCATCCATAAAATGTGGCTTAAACAGCTGATAAGAGTTACACACCCACAAGATTTCTCAAGTTAGCACTGGTCTAACACATTTGTTATGGTTAAAAAAAACAACAACATTCTCTTTCAAGGTAGAAGAACTGGACTGAAAATGATTTAAAAGCACCTTTATAAAGCCCAGTGAGCACTTAAAGAAAGAAAAACTAAAGAAAGAAAAAACTGAAAGTCTGGCCTCTCTTATGCAAAATATATAGAAATTATGGTTGACTCAAGACATTTGCACAATATAGTAGTTTAAAGAAATCTGAAGAATATGTCAAAATATTAAGTTGCCAGCTAACAAAAAAAATAAAAGAAGGACATTCTCATAATTCAAACAGAGGTCGGAAGGAAAAAATAGGCTAAATTAAAAATGAAATTCGACCAAACTCAGAAATAACCTCCACATCTGGATTGGGTTCCATGAGGAAGCTTGTGTGCAAGAACATTCTACTTCTGTAAATTGTACCTACTTATTAGATTAGACTGAAATCTCTAAATGAAGAACTGTTTGCTGGAAATAGTTTTGGTGTCTGAATTAAACAAACAAAAAAAAAAAGTACTGCGTCATTCTTTGTTGTCCTGCTAAAATAACACTGACAAAAACGATTAACAGTTTAGTGAACTCCGTCCATCTACCTGGCTTTGTACTGCTGGAATTCCTTAGTTCGCCGTTGCACCAACTCCTCATATTGATCCTTGGGGAGGTGTTCTTTAAGAAGCCTTGAGCCAGCAGCACAAGTGCAGGGACCAGATGAGGGAAGATGCGTGGGGAGAGATGAACTGGAAGGGTAGAAGGGTGAGGGTATATCAGATGTCTTTAAAGCCTAACACTCATTCTATGCCACACAACTGTATAACTATAATTAGTACAACGATTATTATTAAACCTCATTTGGTTTGGAGATGTACTTTCATGGACTGATATTAAAGTTTAACAAAAAAAAACCTGGTTTATGAAACTAAATTACATCTGAAGTAATGATAGAAACAGGGTATCATTGTTTTTAATATTTGTGTTTTCAGAAAAAAAAACATGCCATATTCCACAGTCTTGTAGCAAAATCACTTTGTTTCTTTATATTATTTTTATTTAAAAGGTACAACTGGGTTCCTTACAAGGGAGACCTGGCCACCGGTAACAGCAATGCAAAAATACAATAAACAGATCATGTAATAGACAAACTCATAACCTGAAACACTAGTGCTCACTAGTAGCAGTGCTCAAGGAAAATATCTAATTCTCTCTTCATCAGTTTTAAGTTCACAGAACAGATATAGACACTTTTACGTTTAGATCTAATGATAAGAATACACTGTTCATTAGATCTATCAGAATCAAAAAGCAGAATTTTGGAGCAGAGTACCTGGTAACTATTGGCACTGGATAGTAAAGAGGACAAAGGGTAAACTGAACGTTTGCCTATTATTGCTCTGTAGAGAAAATAAAAAGTTAAGGAAGAAATATTGCTAAAAAAGGATCTTCATAGAGCTTCCTAACAAGACACAATTTCCCATTAAAGCAGGATTAAACTGCAGGTCCGTCAGCAAGAAAAGAGCAAAATTGTAACATACGTATATATCAAAGAGCTGATGTGAAACAGAGTGTTAAAAACAACGAACCTTGTCCAATGAAGCCACTGTATGTGCTTTTCATGCTGTATTTTTTGATCTTTGAAGAATCGTGTACATGTACGAAGATATTTGCACGACTATAAAAACAGACAACACCTACAGTATGGGCAATTTAGATGTACAAATTACCCAAACTCCACTAACTGCAAGTATTTGGACTTAAAAAGTTGCTAAAATGCATAAGGAGCATACTGTATCTTTCTCGGAGGTTGAGTTTTACCTCAGTTTTGGTGTAGTGATAACATCTCTCGTCAGAATAAAATAGGATGTGGTCACAACGATCACACACACAGCAGAAACCACCTGGAGCTTCCATCTGTCAAATGCAAACATCTGTAGAGGTGCACAGAAACGCAGGCACATCCATTATAATCTGGAAAAACATTTTAAAATCTATAACTATAAATAAATAAACAAGAGCCATGGAGAAAGAACAAAGTAACAATTCATAAGGATTTGAAGTTAGTTCAGGATATCTATATGGTACTGTGGCAAAAGTCTTTATCCATCCCTCATTCTTTAATATTTTGCTGTTAAGCATCCAGTAAGTGATGCCAGATTTTCTTGTCATTTTTAAAGTGGTCTTAAGCAATAGTTGTCAAAAACTGACAAAACTGAATTCAAGAAATAAGTCCTTGAAGTTTTAAAAACCTGTTTAGCGCCACCTTCTTTCAGTACAGACCGTGACATCATGTAGTTGGTAGCTAATAGACTTTAGACTCAGAGGAAATTAAGGACACTAAAACTAAAAATCAGTTTAAGGGAATCCCTTTTGTGTTGTCCCTGGCTGCAACTATGAGTTTTATGCTAAGAAACAGAGATATCCTCTGCTGTCCACTTTCACGGTCTGTCTCTTAGCGGCAATTGGCCACTTGCTGTTTGGCTAGCTGCACTAAAACGGGAAAATCTAGCTGTTAGTTGCAATGTTCGAGTTTGTAAAGCACGTTATAGATGAGGACTTTGTGGAAGAGACCCAGTTTGTATGTCTTCTGACTCAAAGTGTAGTCCGACGGCTTTTCTTCAGGCTGGGTGTACCAAGCCATAGTAGTTACTGCCTTTCGGCTGTAGAAACTATATTTAACAGTGTGAAAAAGTTAATTAAAAAGTCGCATTAAAATACAGTGATGGTGAATGTGAAGATCAGAAAATTTTTCGGTATGTTCCCCTTAAAATATAAGTGGACATCCAAGCATGTCTGTGTTATTCCCTGGATTAATTATCTTAACTATAGCATTATTTTTGTGCCACTATTCTGAGCACACATAAAAAAAAATAATAATAATTTGAGGGCATGTAAAAAAAACCCCAAAAAAACATTGCAAGTGTAAGTGTTTGACGATTTATTTTGAGTGAACAAAATAAATTGTTGTGTGCAAAAAATGTATTATTTGTAGAATTATTTGCATCCAAGTCTGTGATTGGTTAGTTTTGTGACACAAATATAACGGCGTTAAGAGCGCAAGCAACCAGTGTTGCCAACTTACCAACTTTGTCGCTATATTTAGCAAGTTTTCAGACCCCCTTAGCAACTTTTTTTCTAAAAGCGACTAATCTGGCGACTTTTTCTGGTATTATTGGAGACTTATTTATGACGACTTTTTGACGTGAAAACGCGTATCGCTCTTACTCTCAACAAGCAGCGGTGCTGCCTTGGGCACCTCACCCGTGCCAAAGC